TTGGTTAACTGAAAGCATTCCAGTCGGACTGTGTTGTGCTGAATTGAAAATTTTTGATACTAGATTAACTTCCAAAATATAATTTATTTATTTTTATATTTTTCAATATATTTATTTTGTTTGTACAAAATAAATAAATAATTTTTAATGATACAATAGCCACAATTATAATTTTAAAATTATGTTAGGCTTAACATCAACGAAAATCAACACGATGTGACATGCAATGGAGAAAAATTTCAACATGGGATAGGTTAATTATTTTATTTTTTCGTACATAATTGGTTATTCAAAAAATAAGTTATCTGAACATTCCCAGTCCCCAATTGATTTGGATAAACGACTCTCTACTGTATTTGTAAAATTCATAATGACCGTTATATTTTGTCAAAATACAATTTAGGCGAAAAAATATTTTTTTCTATTAGATATACTAGCCAACACCCATTAAATATTTGGCTTGATCAGAATATGACTAGACAATTCATTTGATGTTAGTATTATTAGAATTTTGAATTGCAATTGCATTCATATTGAATAAAATCTCTAAAATATGTTCATAAATGTTATTTGCATCTCTCTCTCTCTCTCAATTATTTTCAGAATTTGAGAAATACATTTATTTAAGATTTAGGTTTTTATTTTTTTCATTTATTTAAGATTCAGGTTTTTATTTTTTTATTTAAGATTCAGTTTATAATTTTTACATGTTACTTTTTGAAAATCTTACTAAATACAATATTCTTAATAGAAAACTTATTTCCATTTATTTTTGTGAATATTCTAATATTTTAAAAATATTTCACTGTAGCCAGAGCTACGTCACAAAGTATGTTCACACATTATCATACCTGCATAATGATAGCCTGTTCAATCAATTCCTTTTAGTATATAAATATGATTTTCAGCAGATTCTGTATTGTTTATCTAATAAATAAATCTGAAATTTAAAATTAAAACTTGGACAAAATTGGGGATATAATTAATCTGTGATATNATAAAAACAGATTTTTCTTTTTTGGTTCTTTTTAAAGGTCTGTTTTGGTTTTTATGTGAAAATTGAAACCACGGTTGTCCTTACTTCAAGTGCATAACTATTTAAGTAGGCAGCAATGTACAGAATGACTGATTAGAAATAAAGCAAATAATATTTCATTTTCAGTTTTAAAAACAGGGTTTTTTGCAATTTAGAAAATATTCCCAATTAGTGTCCATAGTTAAGATTCTACTCCATTTTATCATAATGTTTTTGTGGCCATTGTCATAACATTAACTTTCTACTGTAAATTTCCCTTGAACCTTATTTGCGCATTCAGACCTATTCTGCATCTCTGTTAATTTAGTCAATATGTTTTTCATAATAAATCTGTCGACTTATATGAATAATGTTATTTTTTCTATAGAAAGTATTTAATCTAAAAATTTCCAAACAAAAAGAATTTCTATTTCACATTATAAACATAATTAAGAACATATCAGTTTCTGTTGTAATTATATGATAGTTAAATGTTCACTAGGTTATAACAATAAGAATAATCCAATTATGAAAAAAAACTTTCATTCTGTATGGTTGAACTATTTGTGTTGAACTTTTCCCTTCTGAGTCTAAACCAATAACTTTTTCATTTTATTTTCTAAATTTACACTTCTGTTTTATAACCTAAGTTTTGTACTAAACTTAATTTTCTGCACAAAACAGGAACAAATGACTCTGTGTTTAAATATTAGAAAGAAAAAACTCAAAACTATTGAAGGAGTGACAACTACTGAAATTTAATAGATTAAATACAGTCTATTACATAGTCATAACTCTTTCAATAGTTTTGAGATTTTTCTTTCTAATTCTTAACTTTCAGCACAAATAATTTTAATGTTTTCACGATACTTACAAAATCAAAACTATAACAGAATTAAATGGTGTCTGTTGTCATGTGTGAAAATCTAGACAGTTGGTAAAAGTTATTACAGTATACAGTGGATGATCGGTTAACAAACAGTTTGGACTACGGACAAATCAGACAACAAACATTTTTGCAACAGATTTTTATGTTTGGACAACAAACACCTCACAGAACAAACACGAGAAGAAGCGACGTAAAATAATAAATATCGATTAGTCTTCCCTTGTCTCCAGATAACAATTTGAAACCTTTTGGAATGCAGGAGACATTGACACTCAACCCATTATAGTATCCCTCTGAACTTTGAAACTCTCCCTTGTAATTCCAGCTTTTTGTTTAACTTTCTGACAGAATTTTTTTATAGTCTTCACAACACTGTTGGGCAGGCACTATTTTAAAAATTCACCAGAAATCAAATTATCATTACGTTCATATGAAAAAAATCATGTACATTTATTAACAACTTTAGTTTTAAATACGATATTTTTCAATACATTTTATTAGAAAAATTTATAAGAAAAAAAATATATATATATATATATATATCAGAACTTACATTTAAACTTGGATAATTTGTAACTTTTTGTCAAAATTAACATTGTTTAGTTACCTAGCTTTTTGCTGGCAATGAGCCAGAAAGACGTACAGTATTGTTCTGTACAACTCTATATAACACTTATGCATGTACTGTACATTTATTCATTGTGAAATTATCACATATTATATCAAACATTTGTTTGAAATCAAAACTTTATTATGCTATCAACTAATATAATGAACTAATATACTTTATTCATTTCATATCGAACATATGATTTACCAGTAGTAATACATGTAACATTTGCTGATATTTTAGATTAAAATAAAAGACAAGTAAAATGGCAAAACTGTATTTGGGACATGACTATGTCTCGGAGACGGAATCACTTTAATTCTCAAGGCAGGTCTTGTTCTCATTCTCCTATCTTCTTTGATATCGCTGCTTTTGGGCACGATCATTAAAACTTCACTTGCCTTGACCATGAGGTTGTCCACTAGCCATTTTCAGTGAATGTTCTGTCATTAAAAATTTACTAAAAAACTGATAATTTACTTAATTTGTATCAGTAGAGTGATACAGTAGAACCTCGATTATCCGGACTAATTGGGGATGAAGGTAGTCCGGATAAGGAAAAATCCGGATAATCGAAACAAATACTTTAATTTGTCTTTTAATGATAATACAACACGTTTTCTTTTCGATGACATATCGGTAATATTAAAAGTAAATACTGTATTTAAATCGTGATCAAATTTTCAAGAAACAAACGTTCGTATTGAATTTGGACTACTACTGACCAACGCTAACAGACTACCTATTGTTTAAAAGGCCCTCTGGTGGCGCAAGAAGACGGATTTTATAAAATAAAAAGCAGTTGAAACTGCATTTTTATGAATAAAAATTTGACAAACTATTTATCGTTTTATGACGAGTAAAATTTTTTCGTCGCGTTCGCGGCTTTTAAGTAATGCATAAACCTTCGAGGCGCGAGGCCCTTCGGACCGCGAGGCATAGGCGGTGGCCCACGTCGTCCATGCCTTACGCCGCCCTTGGTCATAGAAATGATGTAATTTGAATATAAATTATTTATAAATACGTATGTCAAGTTATATTTTTATTACGACGCAAAATATATTTAAGAGTTTACGACCACTGTGCTGGGTGAGACGTCGTTGAAACAAAAAAAGTTATGCGTTCCATCACGTACATAGTGTCGTAGTTCGCCAAGTGCAAATCAGCAAATTCGTAAAATTTTTGTTTATTTTGAACAATCCGGATAATGGAGGTTCTGCTGTATTTACAACAGCATCGATATATAATATAAATCCAAGATTGGCATGGCTGTCGAATCGAAAGGTAGTAAAAAGATGTCTCTCCTCGTTAGAGTTTAGGAGCAAAGTGAAGTCAAAGGGCGAAGGTCAGGAGCAGGCACCCTCAGTCCTAAGGTCAGAGTTCACTTCTTAGAATGACTGCCTTATTCTTCCCTATCTGACTTTTTGGCTGGTTTGCCTGTTTGGAGGTGGCTGTTTTGCCTGTTTGTAGAAGAGGGTCACCATTTTGGATTTTATTTTGACTCGATTCTCAGTCCCCTGACTACCTACGAGTCTGGATTTTTTTATGCGCAAATGATTTGGGCACCTAATACTCTGTGCCAAANTTCCTCAGATGATCATAGAAAACAATACACACAAAAATATACTATAACTCAGCTATAATAATACAAAAAAAAAATTTGCATAACAGGCAAGACATTGCATTCATTAACAAGCAAACAAACAAAATCACATACATCATAGACAAACTACAATATATAAAATACGTACACTGAAAAATTAGTAAATACTCAGAACTTCAAAATTAAGTTTCTGTGGAGAATGGACGAGATATTCATTATGTCAATGAATACAGTAATACCTTGATTTTTGTTGACTTTGGTTATTGTCAGTTTCGGTTTTTGTCTATTTTTTGCAAAAAATTTGTCTCGGTTTTCGTTGATTGTCTCAGATTTTGTTGGTGTTCTCAAGTGACCTCACTGCTAATTTTACAAAAACAAAGGGCGACCCATGCGTTTTCCGGTGCAATGTGGCTTTATTTCTCATTGTGTGAACATTACTCCGCGATGGCCCACCATTGGCCAATGGTTCCATTCCCTGAACAATGGGAGTTCGGTCACGGGTTCGTGCTTCACCAGGGCAAGCTGGCCACGTGAAGTTTTTTGGGTTTTCTCCATGTCTGTAACACCTGAATAGGGGCCAGTTACCCTTAAACGGATTTCCTGGAAGGCATTATTTCGCTCGATACGACCATCATAAACACATACAACTACTATTGCATGACAATTACGTCACACTTTACCATGGGGCGATATAGGCTAGAAGCTCATGTCCAACTAGCTTCTACAAGACAAGACATTACCCTGCATGTCTAGCTGAACAATTCCATTGCTTTCATCTTAATGCTAATTATCTTATCTTTAATCTTAGTGCTTTCATCTTTATGCTAATTAGTCTTTTATGATATTTTCTTATTGCTTTTAGTATTTAACGCTATATTAATTCTCTATAAAATGTGTTTTCGGTATGTATTTTGGAGTGTCTAGAATGAATTAATTGGATTTACATTGATTCATATGGAAATAATTGCCTCGGTTTTTGTCGGTTTTGGATTTTGCCGATTGTTTTCAGCCAGATTATTGACGAAAATCGAGTTATCACTGTATTTTCTTGCACAGGCATCATACCACATATAGTGTACACAAGTCTTCAAACATTAGGGCTTGACAACAGTACATATATCACACTACAGAAGGCTGCTGTATTAAACATATATCACATAGAAAATTTTAAACACAGAAACATATACAAACAGTGCATGAACAAAACATTTTCTTGAGTCATGCCTTGACTGGTCTGGCATTGGTATATATGTATATTTCATGGATAATATACTGTTTAGCACTACATATGTATTAATATTTATTTATCTTTCTTTTTTTTTTTTTCTTTTTTAAAAGTTTATTATTGACAAGAATAATTATTGAGAGAGTTGTTTTGTTCTTACTTTTAAAAAAATTTATATATTTCAACTTCCAAATTACAGACAAAGTCTACAATAATTGAACTTTTGTTGAAACTTACTTGTTAGTTTTTTTCTCTTGTTTCTTTCTCTTTTTCTTTTTCTTACTTGTTGAGACTTACTTGTTAGTTTAGTTGTTTTTAGTATATTGAATATTTTTTCCAACACCCTAGTTGGGCTGCAATTTTCAAAAATTGCAGATCTATAAACTTCCACTGGCATTCATCTGTCTGTCATTTTTTAATCTTGGAATAGAGTTAGATGAAAGTCAAGACTAGATATGGAAAGTTTATGGGCAGGAATCCCCAATTAACTATATACAAACTTTCAGTTTGGACTGAAAGTCACATTATGTCAATTTAGATATTTTCTCCTGAATGGAGTTAGGTAGATGACCAGCATGACTATTGTTAACAGAAAAGGTATAATGTACAGGAGAAAGAAACTACTAAAACTGAGAGCATTGTGACATTGTCACAATAAATAATTGCTCATTACAAAATCTATTTTATTCAAAAATCTCATTTTCCTTATCAGTTGCACACATTTGTGTTTTTAATTTTAAAATATTGTAGAAATTCTTTTGTATGTATAATTAATTTATTTGTAGTTTTTTAAATATGTATTCAATTATTTCTCTTTTTAGGGGTCTGTTGAATACTGCATGATTGGTGTGCAATTGTTATCTCAACTTACGTGTGAAATTAATCAGATAAGTGAGGTAAGAAAATATAATAAAAATTTTCTGAATATAATGCAATGTATTAAATATGTTAAAATTATATTATTTTATATTTGGAGTGAAAATTAATTTTATGTATTTTATAGTGATTTTATTCATATTATATGAAATTTATTATTTCAGGCTGAAGCTAATAAGTCATTAACAAAACAAAGAAAAATTGCATCATCTTTTAGGGATACTCAATTATATGAAATTTTTCAATTAGCTTGTGATCTTCTAAGAAGAGCACTTGAAAGTTGGAAAACTATGTCATTTAATGATGAGACGCAAGTAAGTATTAATTGTTATCATTTAAAATTTATTTCTGATTATAAATAACTTTTAAATGAAAAATTAACATAAATCCATAACTATCAATTAATTTTTACTTAACTCAATTATATAATGCATATTCAGTCTTTAATTGAAGGATAATCATAATATAGTGAGAAATATAAATTGTCCTATGGCAAGGCTTAATGTTATCTTATTACAGATTTACAAGTTTTAGTATTTTATTAAAAAAAATCTTAAAATTATTCTTTAATTGTATTTCTCTTATTTTGTTTTCAAAAATATTGCTTTATTTTGTGTTAATTATAAACTGTATTCCAAGTATGTTTAGTACATAATTTGTCTACAAGGACTTTTATTATATTAGTAGGACTTATTATACTGGTGGCCTGATTCTGCAATTCAAGAAAACATATCAGAAAAAAAACAGTCTTTATTTTTCACCTGAACACACATTACACAATATCATTGTGTTTTGGACCTGTCAGTCCCTCATTAGCAGGTTTATGACCAACAATTTCTAAAACAAAATATAAAATTTCTACAAAATTTATAAAATATCCGACAATAAATAACAAAATAAAAACTTACAGATTTTTGATTTTTAAATACATCAACATTCAAAAGCATTAATAGCACAAATCCAATCATATCGCTAATTTTCCTGTGTACAATAATAATAGTTATGGGTTACAATCATAAAAGGTGGTTTAAAATTTTTTCTAAAACTTACATAATCTCTCTTCTATCAGTACTCTGACAATTTCTTATCACGAGATTATTACTTCTTTTATACCTTCACCCCTCATTCCCTGTGTTGATGATTCTGTTCCAAGATTGGTGTATTTCCCTTCCTAAATTGTTGTTCATTCTATTTTTTTGTCTTGCTATGTTCATATAATGCCTTTTAAAATTATTTCTTTCTTTTTTCTTTATTTTTATAGTGCTCAAATCTATTTCACATCTTTTTGTATTACAATGTTCTGCTACTACTGAATTTGCATAATTCCCTTTGATGGTGCAAATATGTTGTTTTATAGGTATATTTAATTTTCTTTTTGTTTCTCCAATATATGTTTTCTTTTGTTCACAACTGCAATCAAATGAATATACTACACCTTTTTCTTCTGTTACCTCATATTTTTATCATATCTATAATTAAGATCTTTTTTTTAGTTGAATTTATTTTTTCAGGTATTAAATTTATTTTACTTTCTATTACTTTTTTAATTCTCTCAAATAATTTTGGTTATTAAAAGTAAATTAAAAGAGAATTAAAAAAGTAATAGAATGGAACAAGTGCAGTGTCTCTAACATGACTCTTGTTTCAAAACAATTGCCAATGAGGGATTATTAATAAAAAATATATAAAAATTAAATGATTAGCTCTCATGTCATAAGGAAAAGTTAGGCTTATTGCAGTCTGTATTCTTTAAAACTGAAGTGAATATGTTAAAATTTCTTTATTTCTGTATTTTATTAATGAGATGGAGTGTTAGCGAGGGCTCTTCTATGTGCTTTACAGAATTGTGTTCATTCTCAAAATCTGTTTGATCAATTTTGATTAAACTTTGCTATTTTCCATTAATTGTGACGAGGATTCCAAAATTGTAATAAAAAATGGGGTCCATAACTTCATTTTTAAGATATTAGGTCATTTCATAAATGTGTGTGATAAGGCAATATCACGCAAATCACATGACATGATTGAGTGATGTTTCATGATTGCTAGTATATTTTCTATGGCCTTATAGAATCGAGTTTGTTCTCAAAATTTAATGGACTGATTTTGATGGAACTTTGCCATTTTCCATTAATTGAGACAAGGAATCCAAAAATGTAATGAGGGTTCATTTAAATATAAAAAATAGGAGTCTGTGACTATGTTTTGGATATACAGAGGTATTGAAGTGGCAATATCCACACTCACTGATACCACTGAGTGCACCTAACAGAAAATAGGTGCAAAAAATGAACAAAACACAAGAACAAAGCAGTCAATATCGATTTGTTTGTTCTTGGATTGTCTCTTATGTAAATGTCAGATAAAGTTTGAAAGGCTTAGTTTCATTAAACAATGTACAAAGTATATAAAAGAAAAATCCTTCACATGCATAAATTTTTCTTGGCTAGTTGACAGTGTTTATTAGTTGATATGATAAGAGTATAGAGTAATATAAACTTTTGTTTTCTGCTACTGTAGTATGTTAGCCTGGATATGTCAGAAAAAGAGCTCTCACTTGGAAAGAAAGAGTTTGTGAGTACTTACTTATATGAAATATTTTGTGAGTACTTACTTATATGAAAGATTTTGTGAGTACTTACTTATATGAAAGATTTTAATACTTTTAATGTAAGGATCATCATGAAGTTTCATACACATGAACACAAAGTATATTTGGTGTTTCAAAGATATCTTTATGTATATTATATATAACAGTATTATCACTATTAATTAAATATAGATTAAATTGGAAATAAGTTTTGATTATTGAAAATATGTAATATGGCAAAAAATATTTTCTTGTTTATGCTTTATTTACTGTTTTCTTAAATATTCTTTTAGCATGGACTAATGAACCAGTTACTGCGGTTAGCTTACAACTGCCTATCTTTTGATTTTATTGGTACGTCTCCTGATGAATCATCTGATGATTTATGTACAGTTCAAATTCCAACCAGTTGGCGACCAGCATTTCTAGATTTTAATACATTACAATTATTTTTTGATTTATATCATTCCTTACCATCTTCACTTTCTCCACTGGTATGTATTATTTTAAAAACTATATATTTTGTTTTAAAATTACTCCTACTTTAGAATATATAACATATATTTTTTTTGCAGGCATTATCATGTTTAGTCCAAATTGCATCTGTGCGCAGATCATTGTTTAATAATGCTGAACGGGCCAAGTTCCTTTCTCAATTAGTGAATGGAGTAAAGAACATTCTTGATAATCCTCAGGTAAATAAAATAATAATTCATTTACAGTTAACTCTGTAAATATATTAAAACAAAAAAATTTTAGAATTTTAATGTAATTTTTATTGTGCCAGAATTCAGATAAATAGTAATTATTATAATAGTATAAGAATATATTTAGATTGTTAACGAAATATTATTTTAAACAGGGATTATCTGATCCTAATAATTACCATGAATTTTGTCGACTATTAGCAAGATTAAAATCCAATTATCAGTTAGGAGAACTTGTTAAAGTTGAAAACTATCCAGAAACAATTGGATTAATAGCAAAATTTACAGTAACAAGTTTACAGGTAAAAGACTGTTGTTTTAAATCTATTAATTTTATAAAAAATTATATTTATATGTTTAAGTAATTAAATATTAAAGTAAATAATAATAAATTATTATAATTGAATGAAAAGTTTTTAATTTTGAATATAGATGTGGCAGTTTGCTCCAAACAGTATACATTACCTTTTGAGTTTGTGGCAACGTATGGTTGCTTCTGTTCCATATGTCAAAGCATCAGAACCTCATCTTTTAGAAACTTATACACCTGAAGTCACTCATGCATATATTACATCAAGACTGGAATCTGTGACAGCAGTTATAAGGTATGTTTAAATATATATATGTATATGTTTTGTTAGATTGTTTTAAAGTTATTTCTTTAATTTTTTATCTTTCTTTCTTCTCAAGACTGGGATGATCAGAGATAAATTAGTGATTATCCCCTTTTTTTCTTTTCATACTGTGTTCGAATTAATTCCTCTTTTGTGTGTCTTGCTCTGTATCATCTATTTGTCCTTTTTGTTATGTTCTTATTGGTTGCTTTCCCATTATTTTCTTCTCATAAATCTGTCTTGAATATTTCTTCTCTCTCTCCTTTTTGTATGTGTAAATTATCTTGATTTCACTCTACTAATTTGTTCTAGCAAACTTTCTAAGCCTAAATTTTCTCTGTTACCTTTATTTTATATCTTCTTTCTTTAAATCTTCTTGGTAAGCTTTTTACACACTTAAATTCCATAGCTTGCACTCTACTTCTTTCAGTCAGTGTCCAGATACTAGAGGCATATATTAATATTGATATAAAGTACTGTTTGTATATTATTATTTTACATTTTCTTAGACTTATTTATTTTATATTAAAAAAAGAAAAAGCTGTGTCAAAAACTTTTACACTTTATATGTCACTAATATAATAAGATCATTTTTTTTCCAGAAATCTGTATTTATTAAGCTATAATTTCAGATAATTATAAATTAAGTTATTTTCAGACTATTTATTTTGTCACATTCAAGAATAATGACAAAATAAATATGTGAAATAAAATCTTGTTTTATTTGGGATTGATACATGCAAATTTGTGTTTTAATGGATGCCAAATGACTAGGTTAACTCTTGGATGCACATGGGATAATTCTGACTATTAATGCATATGTTGACTATTTTTATTATGAAATTTAATGTTTGTAGTAAAAATGTAAATAAAATGATTTAAACACTATTTTAACATGTTTCTATTAACTGTAAATTATTGTATCAATTATCTGGAACTACTTGAGGTAAAGCACAAGTTTATATCAAATTTCATTTCACATAGTATCTGTTGACATGTAACTCCTGTTGATCCTAACTCCTATAAAAGCAAGAACTTACTGATATTTTAAATAGATAAAATTTACAGATTTTAATTGAACATTAATATGGTAAATATACTAAATTCTGTTTTCTTCTATTAAGAAAGATGACTTATTAAGATCATAGTCTTCTAATCAAACAATAGCTATTTTAGATTAACTAATGATTGTATTTATGATTTTTAAACTTAAAAATTTAAATTGTCAATTTCTATTACATATTTCTATATTTTACACAGGAAAGAACGAAAATTTTGTATCAAGTATAAATTCAAAGCAAATATACTGTCTCATTATTTTTTAATAAATAAATGTTTAGATTATTCTAGAAGTTTCTGGAATATTTTAGATATTTGTGGAGTATTGTAGATATATCTAGAATTAATAAGCATTCCTTTTTAAAAAACAATCTCTGTACACATCAGAATATAACTATATCTACTCTTCAAACCTGTTAACCGAATTCGTATATAAACTTTATTCAAACAGTAACGGCCTACTCGATAAAGCTTGAGGAGGAGCCCAGGAGGGGATTCGAAAATGTTTGCGACTATAGAAAAGGAACCGCTCCGGTTAACAGGTTTGAAGAGTAGATACAGCATTTCTTTTTCTAAAAGATTTTTGTTACAGTATGTAAAGGTTGTATTTTTCATTGTTTATCAATCAAAATCAATATCAAAATAGAGTCAAAACAAACAAAAATTTAATGATAGAAACTCAAAAGCATCAAAGCTGCTGATTATGGAAAATCTAAGAAATTTCAGAAATTGTAATCTACTATGAATCTCCTTTTGCAGAAGTTGAAGAAGTGATTCTTTGATTACATGAAAAAGTTCTGGTGAAGAAATTCTGGATTATTGCAAACAATCAAAATGCTGAGTTTACAAAAGAAATATTGATTGGAGAGTGCAAGAATAGTTCTAAATGCTGTAGTCCAGTGATTGTAAATCCATGACCTGCATTACTGTATTTAAAGTTTAGATAGTATTAGTTTTTATAAATTATAAAAAAAATGTTTGATAGATTTGAAAACTTTGTATATATAATGTGAAAGCTGAATTCTAAATCTGACCTGAAATGTCTTAAAATTATCATCAAATAAACAACAATAGATTTTCCATTAAATAAAATATTTATTTTTGTTATGATCATATTATTTTCTTTTTACTTATATTGAGTTTAATGTTAATTTTCTCATAAATATTAAAAAATTAAGTAAATTTTGCAACATTTTTTTTTTAATTAAATTAAATATTTGATCTGCTATTTTGAGTTACTAAATTTCAAATTTAATTTTGATTCACTTTTGGAAAAAGGTTTTCTATTGCTGTTCTAGCCTGACAAATATCAGTTTTTGTTGTTTGACAGCAATGTTAGATGTATCCAACACTTCATGAAATGAGTATTCAATCCATGCTATGAGTTTTATACTGGTAACCTGTGTAGATAATGATGTAATGGTATGCTGTTTTTTCTTCATAATTATTATCTGGTAATGGTCTGTATTTGACTTATTAGAGAAAATATGAACAATCAGTGGTTTAAGATAGCTTTCAGGAGATGATATCATTTACTCACACTAAATGGGATAGATTTATCAAATTGATACTGATTCAAAGCATTAATCAAAGATAGCTTAAAATGGATAAGGAACAATTGGAAGAGGTTCTTCAGTTATCCAATCTGTCTCCAGAAATGAATATACAGTGAAATCCACATATGATAAATTTGGGACTTGCAACTTTTGATAACAATAACTGACTGATAACATTAAACAGAGGATAAAAAGTTTTCATTATTGAATTACAAACAATTACAGTATGAATGTGTACAATTTGTGATAAATATATTATCACAAATTTTACTTTTATACATTATACATTTATATATGTTACATTTCTTATAAACAACTGTTTTTTTTAATAACTCAATAGATCATAAAATTAAACTAGAGAAATCACAACAGGAACATTCATCCCCAAAAGTACACTTCAAGTAATGATATAAAGTACATGTATTTCTTAAGAATTCTTATGTTGATCTTACAGTATGTAAAAGATAAAAGGTATGCTTTGGTTAAAAGTAAGTTTTGAAGAAAAGGTTTATTTAGTATGAATTTTCAAAGAATTCTCATCATTTGTCCCCAAACATAATTATCACAATTGATAACAATAGCTGAAGTTTGATTTTAATAGGTAAATTATTTTTAACTGATTTTATATAATGTTTTGGGACCAATCAATTATGATAACATTATCCTTGATTATAATAACTAAATTCCACTCTAATTGAATATTTTTAGGACAAGTTAGGATGTCATGTTAGACAATGAACCAAAAAGTAAAAATTTGTTTTTAGATCTGAAAACTGGATATTGTATAGTTATATGGTTTACTGTTGGTAATGTGACCACATCAATATCTCGTGTCTACACATTGTCATGAAGATATATAATATTCTACTAAATATATAAAAAACAATTTTGTTGATTTGTTTATCTTTAACTGTATTTTATATAGTCATATGTTTGTTAACCCATAATTTTGTGCTAGAGCAATTTTTCTGCACTTGATAATTTTTTCTGGTAATTTTTCACCAAACTGACTTACTTAGCTGTAATTCCATGATATTCTCATGTCCCATGCTGTCTATCTGATTGTGAAAGATCTTGATAAAAAAAAAATAAGTTTTCTGTTTATCACAGGCACTCAAAAAACCACTGTGTTATGCATACATTTTTTTTTCATGTGAGCACATGTAATTATTGATAGTGATTTTGTCATTTTCAATAACATTGATCATGGCGGCTTTTCAAAATTACCCCAAAAATGACATCATGATGTGACATCATTACATTCTTGGATGTGTCTCCATAAGGTGCTATGACCTTCAACAATTTAACTTTTTCTGCAGCTTTATTTCATGCTTGAAAATACAGAAGAATCATTTTAGCCCTCCCATCATTCATTTCTAGCTGAACTTGTTTTACATTAGTCCACACTATCACAAAGTTGTGGAGTTTTCAATGGGAATGTTACAAGCTATTGTTCTGTAAACAAAACAGCATCTTAACAACTATGATCCTAAAATTTGACATGTACAGAGAAGACACATTACAGAATTTTCAGAGTTGTCAAATTGAAGGAACAGCAATTATATGCAACATAATTATGCATGAAAAATCAGTGAAAAATCATCACATGATGTATGCAATCATGTTTAAAAAAACCCTGCATGTGATTGTGGATTAGTAAACTGATACAAAAATTCTCTCTCAAATTTTTTAAATAGTGCATCTGTTTCCTTATGTAATTGTATTGTAAGCATTAATAAGCATTCCTTTTTAAAAAACAATCTCTNTGTTTAAAAAAACCCTGCATGTGATTGTGGATTAGTAAACTGATACAAAAATTCTCTCTCAAATTTTTTAAATAGTGCATCTGTTTCCTTATGTAATTGTATTGTAAGCTCATATTTTTCCAAAAAGTTACAATTAATTTAAAGAAATAAAAATTCATTAAAAATATCAGTATATTTGCTTTTATTATAAATTTGTTTTATAAATACACACTTGATACAAAATTTTTGCTCTTTGCTGCTTTTCTAAAGATCTTACTTTTACATTTTTAACATATATAATTTTAAACAAACATCACTGAAACCTGATACATTATATTAATGAAATTACCAGCCAATCAATGCCATATGTCATTGGGCTAGATAATGGCTAGGTTAGGTTAGGTGCCATCTCATAAATAAATTTAAAAGTTATAATTTTTAATTAAATAAAATAATTAAATTTATTATGATATTGTGCCTAACGCCTCCTTCTAGTACCAAATTATTTCATAATTTATTAGTATTATAGTCATTATCTAGTCCAATGACATACGGCATTGGTTGGCTTGTAGTTTTATAATTTTAAAATATAAAATTGATATAGTTTGATCATGAAAAATTTCTTTTCAAA